TCTGCTTCTCCCTCTCCCACTCCCCGTTTGTGTTCCCTCTCTCGCTGTGTCTTTCTCTGTCAAATAAATAAAATCTTTAAAAAAAAAAAAAAAGTATGGTGTTCACCCATATTTTCTCATGAATTTGCCTTTATGAGTTTCTGAAATTTGAACCATTTGTGTGTGTTTGTGTGTGTATAAGGAGGCACTTCTCTTGCACTATATCTTGAAGGCCACCTTTGTGCCAGACAGTGTACTAGGCTTTGGGACATTTGCTGAAGGAAAAACAAAGTTATTGCCTCAAAAAGCCTATATTCTTATTAAGACAGTAGCAATACAATGGAATTATATATTAATAGAAGTTGTAGTGGGAATATAGATAAAGGTATTACTATATTGTAATTGGAAAGGTGATTTCCAAGAATCCCCCAGCCCAAGAGAGATTGAGTAGATGAGATCAAAAGAGGCTGGAACACTAAGAAGCAGGAACTTCTCAGGAAGAAGAAGAAAAGCTTTCTGTGACTGAGGAGTATCCTGAAAAACAGGAAGTAGTAGTGTCACAAAGACAAAAAAGTATCCCATGGAAAAGAAAAGTCAAAGTAAGATAAGTACCGAAACATAAAGTGTTCATTGGATTTTACAATTAAGAGTCACTTTTGCGAAAGCAGGTGTGTGTGGAAGCAGATCATAGGAGGTTGAAGGTTAAAAAGAAAAGGTGTATGGTTTACTTTTGGAAACCTGACTCTGGAACCTTGCTCATTTGCAGAAACATGATCACCCTGTAGCTACCTGATTCTCTTCTTGCTTTTACTGCCTTTTTTCTTTACTACTCACTTCCAATTTAGATCCTTAAAATCTTTCCCACTTCTTTTCTTAAACTGTATTCTACACCTATAGACTCTTACCAAATCCAAAGGGTCCGTCTCAGTTCTTTTGCTTCCTTCCAATTGTCCTAGTTCTGGGTTTTTGTAACAGTACGCTCTCTTGGCAGTCAACCTTTCTGGCCTTCCCTTTTCAGATGTTTTGCTGATTCATATCCTCCTCTTCCTACCTATTCATGCTGATTTGTTAAAGGCCCAGCCTGACCTTAGTCCTCTGCTCTTCCCATAAATATCTAGGATAGCTCATCTATCTTTATGGTTTCAATGGTCACTTCTGCACAGATAACAAATTCTATTTAAATCTTCATTGCTGACTCTCCATTACTTCTCTAGCAAGTTCTTGGATGTTTCTACTTGGACTTCTGCCATCAGTGCAAACTCCATAGTTCAGATACTACTTTCTTGTCTTCCTCTTGGTGACAATCCTCAGCTCCTAGCTTTCCTATTTGTTATTGATAACCATTAATCTTCTAGCCCTGGTAATACCTCAAAATCAATTTTCATATTGTACATTTCCAAGTATCACTCTGTCTTACCATGTTTTACTATAGAACACTGCCTAGCGTGCTTTTCTTTCTTACTATTATTTCCCTTGTTCTACTCCTTGTACCTGGTCTTCTTACCTTCTCTCCTTTCTACTAACCAATTCCTTGTACTCACATACATCTTTTCCTGCTTGGAAACCAAATCCTTCAGGTTGAGGTTTTTGTCCCTTAATTCTCATAAAGTTTCTTCCTCTTACCACGCTCCTTAAAAAATAATTCCTGGAGATGCTATTGAAATGCATATGGAGCTTCAGTGATTGGTTAATGTTATTTCTTAAGCTGTTCGGTTTAAAAAACATGGTTTCTTTTCAATTATAACATTTCATTGTAAATATAAACATATATAAAAGTATATCATTATTTTTGTCATATATCATTTAGGTATATATTATGTACCATGGAGATCTTTGAATAAGAAAGTAGAAAGCAGCTTGTCACACTGGAGAATGTCTCTAAGATTCAATTTATTAATGTTGGGATAATAGTACCTACTTCATGCAGTTGTGAAGATGGAGTGTGATAGTTTATGTAAATTGTTTAGCATAAGACCTAATACAAGTAGTCAATATTAGCAAAATAAAAGTAATTTAAAAAATTCACCTGGGGTCCCACTCCTAAAAGAGATTACTTTTGTATATTTCATTTTAGGTAATTTTTTTTACATAGAATTTTCTCTGTCTTCTAAATGCAATATGTATATTGTTGGTTTTTGCCCTTAAAGAAAAATTTTTGTTAGTCTACTGTATACAGGGGGACTTACTGAATACTCTTAGAGTAGTGGTTCTCAACTGGGGGTGATTTTGCCTCCAGTGGACATTTATTTAATGACAATTTTGATTGTCACAGCTGAGGGTATGCTACTGGCATGTAGTGGGTAGAGGCCAGGGATGCACTTAAACATCCCACAGTGCACAGGATAGACCCCCACAACTAAGAATGTTAATAGTGCCAAAGTTGACAAACCCTGTCTTAGGTTCCGATAATGAAAAATACCCAGTTTGAATCTTCAGAAAGTGGCATTTAATTTGGTCTTGAGGAATGAATAGAACTCTATATTGTAATGATGAGAGAGAAGAATTATCTAACCCAATGGAACCACATAAGCAAAAGCAAGACCTTTGTATTGCTATTTAATTTATTCATGTGCTTATATACTGACTCCCAGATTCGACAAAACAATAAAGGTATAGGAACACATTCTTTTCTAAGGAAATAATATATAGGGCTTTGTATTCAATAATTGTTGCGTAGAACACTAAAAATCATTTTTAAGTCCTTCTGCCTTTTTCTTCTTTTAGCTACCCATTTGATGTAACTCGTCGGCGAATGCAGTTAGGAACTGTTCTCCCAGAATATGAAAAGTGCCTGTAAGTTCTGTATTTGTCATTGTTCATTTTCTTTAGGAAATGTAATGTTTAAATTAAGTAGGGAGATAGGACTGCGGTCTTACCAGTAGTCCAGGTATTATTATGAGATAGTGTTGCTAGTAAATGTTACAGGCATAGTCCAAACAAAATAGATTGTACTAATGAACCCGGCAATTCGGTGCATAATGCTTATACTTGTTTGGAGTGAGTTGCTGCTTTATTGTGAATTTTCAGCTTGTTTTTACACTTGCCTTCCAAAAGCTATTCAAGATGGCATTTTGGCTTCTTTTAAAAATGCTATTATGGTGGCGCCTGGGTGGTTCAGTGGGTCAAGCATCTGACTTCACTCAGGTCATGATGTCTGGGTCCTGGGATTGAGCCCTGTGTCCATCTGGGCATCGTGCTCAGTGGGGAGTCTGCTTGTCCCTCTGACCCTCCCCCTACTTGTACTATGTCTCTCTGTCTCAAATAAATAAATAAAACCTTTTAAAAAAATTCTGTTATGGATCCTGAAATTGTCTCTTCTTGAGTGGGTATAACAGTGCCATCGTTTAACCGTTGTCTTTCAGTACCATGTGGGAGACTATGAAGTATGTCTATGGACACCACGGAATTCGAAGAGGATTGTATCGTGGTTTATCTCTTAATTACATTCGCTGTGTTCCCTCTCAAGCAGTGGCTTTTACAACATACGAACTTATGAAGCAGTTTTTTCACCTCAACTAAAGAAAATCATGATTTCTTTTGCTTAATAATATCTCAGAGGGAGAAATAAAATGTTACTTTAATTTTGGGAGGAACATTACTTGAAGGGAATATTTGCCTTGTCACAGGAACCGCTGGTTTTTTAGTACTTGATTTTTTTTTTATTCATCACAAATCAAAAGTGCTTACTTGTGCTTTTTGATGCCAAAAGTTATACCTTAGAACATTGAAAAAAAATCCTAAGCTGATGCTGGCTAATCAGTTAGGTTATTTGAAACTGTTTTAAAGTGTTATTTGGAAGTAGAACTAACTTAAAATGGGATTCAGGAGGTTGCCATTAGCTTTATCATGCTTTAATTCCAAGCTTTAATTATAATCATGATTTTCAAAGACTCTAACATTGGTTATAGGCTTGGTTATATTGCAGCAGAATGATGAAAACTGAATTTTTAAGTTATATAAAACATAGCTTGGGGGGGTGCACCTGGCTAGCCCACCCAGAAGAGCATGCTCTTAATCTTGGGGTCATAAGTTCAAGCCCCACTTTGGATATAGACATTACTAAAAATTAAAAAATTAAAAAAAAACCTTAAAAACACGTAGGTTAGGTGCCAGCATTGAAGATTATTCTTATTATCTCTCTTCTCATAATTCTGCTCCACTGCATAAAAGGACTGACACTTTTTCTTTTTGTTTTTAAATAAAATAAATGTTGTATTTAAAAATTAGCCTTGTAGAAACTCAACAATAAATGAATTTTCAGGTATTGCTCATATGTTATTACTAGGTACTAGGTACTATCACTGACTTAAATTTGTTTTTAAAAGTCAATGTATTTCCCAAAGGCAGTAATAATAAATACTGAATATCTTTGCTCTCAAAACAGTTAGCATTATAGATTTGTTTTTGTTAGGTGATTTGGTATACACTAGAAAATTTATTTAAGTGGACTGTGAAATATCCATTAATATAGATGTGAATGTCAAAGAATGTTTTGAAGGTATTTTGTCATGATACATCAACTAGTTCTTCCATGTAAAATAATTTTAGTGCAATATAACCTTTAGAAACGTAAGACACGATTTAATTGCTATTCTTTATATTAAAATGGTTTAAAATATAAGAAGTCCATTTATTGTGTTTAGAATACTTTTTATCTTTTATTGTAAGCATGACAGAAATGGGAAGGGAACAATTATAGTTCTGTCCTCAGAAATAGTGATTTGTAGAATTGATGTGATTCTTCTTGATCAATGCAAACTATTTTAATTGTTCTAACTTTATAATTTTTTTTATTGAGGTAAAATTGACATATAACAATATATTAGTTTCAGGTGCACAATGTAATGATTCAATATTTGTATTTACTGCAAAATAATCACCATAATAAGTCTAGTTACCATCTAATTGATGTATTAGAAAACTAAGCTGAAGGTGTTATTTCTGCTTCAATTTTAATTTTGTTTGCATAAAAGATTTTTTGTTATACCTTGGTAAAAATTAGATGAACTGGTTTCATTTTCAAAGTCTTTATTTTAAAATAAATATGTATCTTTGTATGATTTGTAAGTGTACCCACAGGTAGAAATACATGTGTTCTTAAAACTATTTTGTATATCTTCATTTCTGGGCTACATTGTAGCTAAATATTGTTATCAAATCTCAAGATAATTTAAATGTATGAAATAAGTATCTCAGTTATGTTATCAATAAAAGAGGACTGCAAATATTTTTTTAAATAAAAATTTGCATTCTATGTCTGTTATAGAATACATAGGATATTAAAAATAAATTTTATTCATATTTTGGCCATTATTTCTCTTTTTTAACTATTCACATTATTAAAAAATATTCACATTATTGAAGCACAAATGCTAAACATAAGTAGTCAGAACAGAAGAATATTTAAAATAATAACTATATTTATATCTGATTTATTTCAGATTAATGACCCAAAGTGTATCTTGCCAGGTTATCTTCCACTGAAGATTGACTATTTCTGTTTTGATTTCCATTGTTACTCTTCCTGCCTTTTGTGGGAATAGCCCTTTGATCTATAGAATGGGACGGTGATCTGGTCCAGCGATTGATAAGTGAGGTACCACTCCTAGCTCTCAAGGGTATGGAGTTAGAAAAGTTAACGGGTATATATAATTACATCTTACCCTATTCCTCCTCTGGGTATTCAACATCCATTTATTCAGCACCCATTGTGTGTCAGGCATTATATCAGCATTATGGAGAGCTTACCTTGGGAGGTCTGTTAGCTGTACTTTCAGTCTGACACGGATGTCCTACAGCATCTAACTTCAGGTATTTCTCTAATAGAGTATGTACTACACTTTATGGCAACTGCCTGTTTACCTATGTGCCCCCAAGTTGGTTCTCTCAAGGACAGAGCTATGCCTTCATCCCCTATAAGGAGCATGGTGTGGCACCATAATAGGTGGTCAGAGATGTTTACTGAAGAAGGATGGCTCAGTCCCTGTTTTTGGAGACTTTATGTTCAGTAGGGAGAAATAAGGCACAAACAGTCCATGGGAAGAGCAATTTGAAAAGAAATTCATTCGGCTTGTTTCATAGAAATGTCTTGTTGCTAATTTGAGCCAAGGTGAATGGCAAATAATAAAGCCTGTATTATATGAGTAATGCATTGCCTTGAGGACTTGGGCCAATGATAGCTGACACACTTGAATAACAACTGCACACTTTACACAATTCCTCACATCCATTCTTTGAATAACAGACACTGTGTTAGGCCCTAGAAATCAATGACAATAAGTCATGTGTATTTCCTGAGGACTTACTATATTCCATGGTTTGTTTTATGCACTTTTGATGCCTTAACTGTATCTCTACAACAATTATAAGATAGCTACTATTTATTTATTTATTTATTTATTTTTTAAAGATTTTATTTATTTATTTGACAGA